AGACCAGTCACTGGAGAAGGATATCATGTTTGGTAAAGTGGAGGGTCACAGAAAAAGAGGAAGACCCCAATGAGATGGATTGGCCAAATGGCAGCATCGATGGACTCAAGCGTGACAACAGTAGTGAGGTTGGCCCAGGATCGGCAGTGTTTTGTTCTGCTGTGCATAAGGTCGCTATGGGTCAATACCAACTCGATGGCACCTAACAACAACAACAACAATTATTTTGTAGACTCCTGGGTGTGGTGCTATAGGATATAGATAGGATAAGCACTAGACTGTGAACCACAAGGTCCTTATTTCAAACCTATCAGCTCCTCCTCAGAAACCCTATACAGGGTCATTATGAATCGAAACCAGTTTGACAGCACACAACAACAACATTACTGTGGAGCCCTGGTGTGCTGCTGTAGGATAAGCACTGGACAACCAGCTTGGTTTGAACCACAAGTTCATTGGTTCAAACTCACCAGCCGTTCCTCAGAAACCCTATACAGGGTCTCTGTGAGTCAGAACCAGCTTGACGAGACTTAGCCAGGACAGTTCTTTGTAGCAGCCTGTACGGTAGATGCTGGTACTCCTTTTCTCTCGCCCTTTTTCTTCTTTCTTAGCCTTTCCTGACTCTGAGCTTTGTCCTTGAGCAAATGCTGCCCTTTTGGGCTCCTCTGCTTGCTGGTTCTTAGGAGTGGATACTGCCTCCCTGGTGAGACTGTTCACCTTGTGGGCTTGTCTGTTGTCAGGCTGCAAACTGAGTCTGGGGTGAGTTCAGTTCCCGACATGAAGGCTGACTACGAGCCACAGATTCAGTGAGCCTGGTCTTTTAAAAACGACTTTTGAGTTTCCCCCATTTTTTCCCAGTCTATTCAGCATCTTGTAATGCAATCCCTTTCAGAATGGTCACCAGTTGTAGCCAGCCGGGCCCCACCGAGTGTTTTCCGTCTCAGGGTCGTGGGGGCTGAGGTCTGTATAGTCCACTACTCCTTGGGACTGATAGTTTCCATCTTTGATTTTCTTCACTCTTCTTTTCTCAAGACTGGGAGAGACCTTAGGTGGTCACTCACAAGCTTTTAAGACCCCAGTTGCCAGTTACCAAGGGTGGATCTAGAGCATTGTCTTTGTGGGCTATGCTATGCCTGTTGGTCTTGGTGTCCTGTCCTGCTCCTAGTGTCCATAGGAGAGAAGCAGACTAAGAGACAGCATAAGGATTTGAACTCCCCACCTCCACCCCACCCCCAGCACAGCTCAGGATTGTTGTGTGCCCTGAAGCAGATGCTGACTGATAAGGACCCTGGAAGACAGAGTGTGACTGCCCCCAGGGTGTCCTGGACTGTGGTCTCTGGCTCCAGGGCACTTGTTCCCTACCACTTTATTGCACTCCAAGTTGTTCCTCAATTAACACTACTGTGGGCTCAGTGGTGATCTGCCCGGGGCAGTGTTTCCTTTCTTGCTTGTTTCTGTGGTATCTGGGGGTGGAGATGAGACTCTTGCCATTTGGCATTTTAAAGGGTAACATGTTATTTTTCCTCATGAAAAGATTTTGCGATAAAAAGACAATAATCAAAGAACTGAAAGTTATTTAGAGATTTAGAAAATAGCTGAAATGTAATCGTCTGAAGAGAAATGCTTTCTTAGTCATTATGTGGGAGGCGAGAATTGCAGTACATTTTCTTGAGGAAAAGCAAAGTTAGAATCAATACCACCACAAACCAGAGCAAAGAACTGTGGGTTGTCTTGCTAACTGAATAGGAAACAAGAATCTATGGGCATTCTGTGTGAAAGCACAGACCATGGACGGACCATGGGGACACCGATCTGTCTGCCTTAGACAAATGTTTTTTCTCTCTTAAATCTCACACTTTGCGTTGATCTTGTAAAAATTATATGAAGGGACTTTAAAAAGTGTGTGGAAAATAGAACATAAACCTAATGGTCTTTTTCTATGAACTTTTTGAAGCCCCCTCATCTGTGTTGAGAAAGGTAGACAGAACAGGAGTTATAAAACATGTGTTTGCTCTCATGATGTTGACACTGATAAGGGTTGAGCTCCTAGGCTGCTATTACTATTACTTTAGTTCCTGCTGTTGTTGTTATTAGGTGTCATTGGTTCTGACTCATAATGACCCTCCCTGTAAACAGCAGAACCAAATACTGCTGGCTCCCACGCCAGCCAACAATGGTTGCTATGTTTGAGCCCATTGTAGCCGCCGCTGTGTCAGTCGGTCTCCCTAGGGACCTTCCTCTTTGTCACTGAGCCTCCACTTTACCAAATATGAGGTCCTTCTCCAGGGACTGGGCCTTCCTCCTAGCATTTCTGAAGGACATGAGGCAAAGTCCTGCCTTCCTTGCTCCTTAGGAGCATTCTGGGTGCACTTCTTCAACACAGATTTGTCGTCCTCCCGCCATCGCTGGTATGTTCCACATTCTTCGCCAGCACCACAATTCAAAGGCAGCGCTTCTCTGGTCTTCCCTATTCCTGTCCAGCTTCCAAGTGCTTATGAGGCGATGGAAAAGACCGGGATTTGGGCCGGGCCCAGCCTAGTCATCAGAGGTCATGGTCATTCTTATTAACTCTGTTAAAATGTTAATGTGGTTCCTTCACATACGTTGTTGTTAACTGCTATTGGTTCCAACCCGTTACGGCCCTGTATAGGCTTTCTGAGGAGTGACTGGGGGTCTTGAACCACCAACCTTGCAGATTGCAGCCCGGTGCTTATCCTACAGTGCTGCACCAGGACTGTCTTCTAAGAAGTATGCCACATAATAAAATAGCAGGTACATACTTCATATCATTCAGTGCCGTCAAGTGGGTCCTAACTCATAGCAACCCTGTGTAGGGTTTCCGAGTTGCAGTTCCAACTGACCTTGCAGTTCACTGCTTATCCCACAGAACCACACTGGGAGGCTTCAAAAAGTTCATGGGAACATTCCATTATCTTTCAATTCCATTGTTCCACGATCTTTTTGTGATAGGAGGAGAAATGTTATTACTAAAGGAGAAACCTACTGTAATCCCTCCTTAGGTGGAGAGCCTCCCTTTTAGAACCCATGTGCCCCGGAACATCTTTCTTAGCAGTGGGTGTGTGGTTTCCTGTCCCTACATGTGCGGTGTACTTGGTCTGGTCTTGTTGGTAATCTCCTTCTCCACTCTTCTTGGCTTCTGTATTTCCTCTTTGAGAAGTATTTCCACCCACAAAGCCACTCACTGAATTAGATGCCAGTTCTCTTCCTCTCTCTTCCCCCTATATTTACAGAGCATCCTGTACGGATACAACTTTCTTAGAGCCCTTATTATATTGAATTTTAATCATGGGTTTCCTTGACCAGTCTCATTCTATTTCTCTGCCTCCTTCAGTGCTTAGCACATGCTTGGTTGTTGTGGTGAAGTGCTGTCAAGTCGATTCCCACCCATAGTGACCCTGTGTAGGGTTTCTGAGGAGCTTGAACCACTGACTTTGTGGTTCAAACTAACTTTGCAGTCCAGTGCGTTTACCCACAGCACCACCCCAGGACTCCTGGCACTTACTAAGAGTTCTCTAAATATTTACCAGAGAGGGAGTGCAGAGAGCTGCTGCCTTTAGAATGGGTTGTTTAACCCCTGACTTGTTAGCAGCAGGAAGCGCAGAGAACCTTCTATGAGAGGAACCTTCCTTGCCAGACTTGCAGAAAGAATGGCGTAGGGGCTTCGGACCTCTTCATGTAACTTCACAAGGGGCAGCTGAGAGACTCACCATCCGCACTGGTCCAAGGCTTCTTCCTTGAAGTGGAGCTCAGACCTGTCTCTAACCTCCAACCTTTTTACCATTGGAGCCTCTGCTGCCCCTCCCCCAGCTGGGTGTGATCGCTCATTGCAGTGACCACCCAGAATTCAGATGGTGCCTCTCAGCTCTGGGGTAAATGGGAAGTAGCAGCATTCGGGAATGCCTCAGGATACAGTCCTTCCATCAGGACCATTTCTCTGTGGACCTCTTGGGTTCAGTCGGGGAGAAGCACCCCACTCCTCTGGGAAGGCTTTCAGCTCTTTCCCTCTGTGGGTCGGCATACCCTCTGTAGCTGCCGGGAAGCCCACCATGATGTCCGCCCGGTCTTCTGGTTCTGGTGCTGCCCTTTCTTTGTACGACTTCTCTCTGTTTCCCGGGTCTAAGAGGTTCTCAGGGCAGGGAGCCCAGGCTTGGTATTGGTGAGGATCCCCCCTTCAGCATCTGGGACTGGCTCATTTTAAACCTATCAGGATGGCATATGGACCAAGCTTGGTGTCCTTCACCTGGTGGCATGTCCGAAGTACGTAAGACAGAGTCTGGTCATCCTCACTTCTAAGTCTTCTGGCATCACCCCGTCCAGGACAGCCTTGTTCGTTCTTTTGGCAGTCCATGGTATATTCAATAATGCTTTGCCAACACCGTCATTCAAATTCGTCAATCCTCAAACATAGCTCCAACCAAAGGTCGTTTTTATTAACCACCTCTGGATTATCTTTAAGAAAACATTTCAAAGTCAGTCTTTGACAGAACAGTGTGAATGCATGAAACCAGCCAGAAGCAAAGAGCCATGACTGAAATCATGGCTGCAGACGTGTTACATAGTATACCTCCAGTTACATTTCTTAGCACACTTTGCAGGTGACCCCCGTTGGACAGTGGAGTCTTGTTACTGTCCTTCTGCCACTTCATGTAACACGTAGCATCTTTGCTCTTAGTCACAAGTCCTTATTTCACTTACTGGTCCTGTAATAGATGACTTCCGGTCACATTTATGTTTTCCTTAGGACTCATTGGCTACCTGGTCTGAATGTTGGTTTCTTATTAAGAAAGAAGTTTATTGGTAATATCATTGGGCTGGTACCTTTAGCCTATCTTGATTACTGTTAATTACTTTCTTGTTGTGTTTTTCTAGACTGGCGGGCTGTGACTTCAGTCAAACCTTGGTGTCCATCAAAGGAAATGAAGCCCTGAGCGGACGTCCAGTCTGACGTATGAGACAGAAACTGCCTCACGTGGCCCAGCATGGGAACTGCCAGCGACGAGATGGCTTCGGTGGAGCAGGCTTCCTCCTCCGTAAACCCGCTGTGTTCTGAGTGCGGCCAGCATCACTGGGCGAGAGAAAACCACCTGTATAACTACCAGGATGAGGTGGACGATGACCTGGTCTGCCACATTTGCCTTCAGCCTCTGTTGCAGCCGTTGGACACACCCTGTGGCCACACCTTCTGTGACAAGTGCCTCAGAAACTTTCTCCAGGAGAAAGACTTCTGTCCCCTGGACCGGAAGAGACTCCACTTAAAGTTGTGCAAGAAATCTAGTATTCTCGTTCATAAACTGCTAGACAAGTTGTTAGTCCTGTGCCCATTTTCTTCAATGTGCCAAGATGTGATGCAGCGTTGTAACCTGGAGTCACACCTTAAAAACAGGTAAGTGAAACAGGGACGGGCAGGAGGGGCAACTGGACTGCAGAAGACACGGGTTCAAAGAAGCACTTGATTAGGAAACAGAACACAACACCAGGCCACCATCGGCAGCTGGACCAGAACATCAGCAAATCAGACAGAGAAGAGATGCAAGTAGGCTGTTGTTGTTGTTAAGTGCCATCAAGTCGGTTCCGACCCAGAAGGACCCTGTATAGGGTTTCTGAGGAGCGGCTGGTAAACTCGAACCGCCGACCTTGCAGTTCAAACGGCTTTGCTGGCCGGCGCATTAACCCACAGCGCCACACCAGGACTGTAGGAAACCACATTTGCCCTTCGGATGTCTCTACAAAAAGGTATGTAACCAAGACGGTGAGGAAGTACTAGTTTATGCCCATTCATCTTGGTCTCAAGTGACGTGACTCACATGGGTGTTTTGTTGTTGGTAAGTGACGTTGAGTCAGTTCTGACTCATGACAATTCTGCATAGGGTTTCCAAGGAGTGACTGGTGAGTTTGAACCTCCGACCATGCGGTACACACTGACCTTGCAGTCCAGTGCTTTGTTCCCATAGCACCTCTCCCTGTTGTATTCGTAGGTCTAGGCCATGTGACCGCTGGTTTTAGAAACTGTAAATGTCTATCTATATCTTACCTGTCTCCTGTCTCCTGGTCTCATTGGAATTTGTCCTGAGGAAATAATCCAAAGTTACATATTCGATTTAAAAGTGTTCCACAAGGTAGACTCAATCCTATTGCTGGAAAGTTGAGGGAAGGTTAGAAACACAGTGGTTTAGCGTGCAGCTAATAAAAGGGTCATTTTTTTTTAATATAACGTGGAACTAAGCGTGTTGTTGTTAAGTGCTGTCAAGTTGGTTCTGACCCATAGCAATCCTATGTAGGGTTTCTGAGGAACAGCTGGTGGGCTTAAAGCACTGACCTTGTAGTTCAGACTGGCTTTGCGGTCCAACGCATTAGCCCACAGCACCACACCAGGCCACCAGAAATAACTATCCGTTTCTAAATCACAAAGCTAAACCCTTTCTGCAATATGAATTGTGGTAACTTCACTCGCTGTGATAAACCATGCATACTACAACAAACTGCATTTAGAAAAGACAGTATAAACCTGGTACAGAATGGCTTCTGATTGTACTCATTCACAAAATCATAGAATTGAAGGTTGTTGTTGTTAAGTGCAGTCGAGTCAGTTCCCACCCACAGTAATCCTGTATAGGGTTTCCGAGGAGCCACTGGTGAGCTTGAACTACAACCTTGCAATTCAAACTGACTCTGCAATCTAGTGCAATAACCTCCAGTGCCACTGTAACATCAGTGTAGTTATTGTAGTAAATTTAATGTAGTTACACATCAGTGTAGGTAGTCCCCAACTCATGACACCATCAGGCTACAATGAGCTGCACTTGGAGTGTCTTAGCGTTGGTGTTCTATCCCACACAGTGCTGCAGCGGGGAATTTGCTGTCTTCTCGCTCACAGATGGTCACTCACAGGTGTTCAAAGATCAGTTTTATAAGGATGGTTGGTTGGTTGGTTGTGTGCCCTGGAGTTGGTTCCAACCCATAGCGACCCTGCACAGGGTTTCTGAGGCTGTAAATCTTTATGGGAGCAGAACGCCTCATCTTTCTCCCGTTTATAGAGATACTTATAATAAAAAGCAATAATAATGAGACTGGTAAAAGAAAGAAAGAAAGAAAGGAGGTGTCTGATTACATCAGAGCTGACTTGCAATGGGGTTGTCAGAACAGAACCCGGACCGAAGTCAGGGACCGTCTGCCCTCTCAGTTACCCTTCTGATCTACCATGGTGATGACCACAGGTCAAATCGTGCCTCCACTCCTGTGTTCTACTGACCCTGCTGCATTACTGCGAGTGCACATACCCGTTCTGTCCCTAAATGCCAGTGTTATCATAAAGGGTTCCAATGGCGTTGGTAGAAGTAATGAAGATGTAGAAGAGAGTGATGGGATGCTATCAAAATGCTGCTGTTGATGTTAAATGCCATGGATCATAGTAACCTTGTATAAGGTTTGCGAGGACTAGCTGGTGGGTTTGAACTGCCCACGACCCACGTTTTGGTTCACAGTACAGTGCTTATCCTACAGCGCCACACCAGGAGTTCATGAAAATGTCAAAAGCATTTAAATGTTAGGAAGACCTGTAAAGCAGGAGTGGGGACACTTTTTTGTGCCAAAATTCATAACGTCATTCGTGGGCCATACAAAATTATCAACTTAAAAACGAGTCTGCTGTGTTTGGTCAAACATTTAATTAACTCGCCCCTAATGTGATGGCTGAAACTGTGGTTGCCTTGGCAGAGCCAAACCAAATATAAGGCCCACAGGCCAGACATTCCCCACCCCTGTTGTAAAGACTGCCCATATCTGAATCACGTTGTCCAAAACTAGGAGCTAACAAAAAGGGTAGGACAGCTGTGTAGACTTTTTGAAAATGCAGGTAGCTGTGGGTCTTTGTGTCCCCTGACTCAGTAGCAGATATGGAGTCCAAAGATAGTGACGAAGAACTTCTGGAAGTGGACAGTGAGGTTTTATCCTGAACACGAGGGGCTTCAGAAAGCTTATGACAATGAAATGAAAGGCTAATAGAATGTTGTCACGGACTTTCTGATGCCTTCTCGTCCTAGTCTGGGTTGGACCTCATGTGGTTGTGGCTGGAGAAGACTTTGGGTCTTTCTTAGTTCTCTAGAAGAATTACTCTTTAGAGAACAGATTTCTTTTGTGAATCTTTTATGCACATCAGTTATAGAACAGTAGAGGAACTGAAACAGACCAGACCCACTGACATCAAGTCAGCTCTGACTCATAGTGACCCTGAGATTGTAAATATCTATAGGAGCAGCCAGCCTCTTTTCTCTCCCATGGAGCAGCTGGTGGGTTTAAACCACTGACCTGGTGGTTAGCAGCCCATCATTTATTCCAGTGTTACCAGGTCTTGGTTTTCTGGTACCTATTTTCCTGCAGTATTCTCCATTCTAGTCTTCTGCTCGCTTTGAGATTACTTTGCTTCCCCGCCCCTACAACACACAGTGTCTTAAGGTGAAAGGCTAAGATCTTGATTTGAGATCTTTTTTTTTTTCTTAAATGTGAGCATTTACACATAAATTCCCCTGCGTTGCTTTAGCTGCATCTCACAAGTTTTTGCATGTTGTGTCCTCATTTTCAGTCATCTCAAAATGTTTCTTAATTTTCTTAGTGATAATTATTTTTTTCCCCATTAACCTACTTGTTACTTGAACATGTGTTGTTAATTTCCATGTATTTGTGAAGTTCCCAATTTCCTTTATTCTGTGAACTTCTGATTTCACTCTATTGCAGCTGGACAACATGCTTTTCATTACTTCAAATCTTTTAAATTTATAGAGGCTTACTCGATGCCCTGGCACATGGCTCTCTTGGAAAACGTTGCATGCTTACCTCCGCTATTGTTGCCGTGTTCTATAGATGTCTGCTAGGTCTAGTTGTTGTATAGTGTTACCCAACTCTTCTGTTTTCTTCTTGACCCTCTGTGTCTAGTGTTGTTCTTTACTGGAAGTGGGGTATTGAAGTCTCCAACTACTATTGTTGGATTATCCATCTCATCTAACAATTCAGCCCATTTTTGCTTCATATATTTTGGGGCTCTGTTGTTAAGCCCATATATGTTTACAATTGTTACCTTCTGCATAGATTGGCCCTTTAATCATTATAGAATGTTCTTCTTTGTCACTCAAATTAAATTTTTACTTTCAGTCATTTTTCCTAGTATTAGATAGCCACTCCAGCTCCAAATGATCTCAGTTGGAATAATATATATTTCCCCACAATTTTGCTTTATACTATGTATTACGAAGTATGAATATTCTGGAACACTTAATTGTGCTCATGAGGAGTCTGTACCTGGACCAAGAGGCAGTTGTTCAGAACAACAGAACATGGGAACACTGAATGGTTTAAAATTAAGAAAGGTGTGTGACAAGGTAGTATTCTTTCACCATACTTATTCAACCTATGTGCTTAGTAAATAATCTGAAAAGCTGGGTTATATGATGAAATAAAAACGTGGCATCAGGATTGGAGGAAGACTCATTAACAACCTGCGATATGCAGATGATACAACCTTGCTTGTTGAAAGTGAAGAGGACTTAAAACA